TACCCAAACGCACGCACACACACACACACACACACACACACACACACACACACACACACCACACCTACCTATAACCCAGGGCATAAAGCATGACCAGATCAAAGAACTTTCCACCTGCTCCCTCGTTTACTCAATCTACTTCCTGTAAGACATCCTGGAGGTGGGCAGGCAAATGCACCTAGGAGCACCTACTTTTCCAGCACGGCACACAAAGGTGCAGAAAACGTTTCTAATCACGCCTCATAAAGTGTGAGGGCAAAGAGGGAAATGGCAAATTCAATCTGCATCTGAACTCCGAACTGATGCCTCCACCGTCAAACACCACCACCACTGCAAATAAAATAACCCAAAGTCTGGGCCTCGAAACCAGAAGACCCTGTCAAACATCTGAACAATTCGTAAAAAGAACTCCTACTATCATAACCAAACAGAATCATACAAACGGTACCATGCTTACTGCCCCAGTGGCAGGTGGACGGAAGCGCTGACACTAAAACCCAAAACTTAATAACTGAGTCAACTTGCAGAAGTAATTCTTTTTTTATTGCCTTGCCATAGGTTAAATAATTCTCATCTCCCATAACCTACAGCAAGAGTTCACGGCTTTGGTGTGTGATGAATGAAACTGTCACTCGGGGCCGACTCTGATCCCGAGTGTCCCTCCGCGCCGGGAGCCAGCGAGCCAGCTGACTCCCGGACGCAGCACTGCAGACTAGCGGGGCTCCAGAGGACGGCTCCCCAGGCTCACGGAAGCGGGGCGACCCTGACAATGGACATCTGGAGCAAGACGCTCGGGGCCAGGCTCAGGCCAACCGTCCCACGGCGCCGGGGGGAAGGCGGGGCCCTCGCGTGGACGTCCACGCCACCGGGCAGGGCCAGCCGGGGTGGCCGGCGGGCGAGGCTGGCATCGGGGCACGCGCTGGCCCCTCCCGCCGGACCCGCCACGGTGGCTCAGGAGGGCAGGCCGGGTCCCCGCAGCGGGCGGCCGGGCGCTGCCCACGCCCTCGCCTCACCTCGGCGGGCACCGGCAGGTTCTCCACCGCCGCCTTCAGCTCCAGCACCGAGTCCGTCTGCCTGTCTGTCAGCGGCGCCATCGAGTCGGGTCTCCGATCCCAGAGAGACAGCTTCTCGCGGGCGTCCCGCTCGGCCGCCGCCTCCGGCAGCAGCAGCAGCGCCGCCTCCGCCATCCCCGCCGCCCTGGGCCACTCAGGAGCGCACAGCCCGACCCGGACAGGCAGAGCCGGGAACTTCCGGGAGCACCGAGGCTTCCAGCGCCGCAGCCGCGGCGGGGCGGGCCCGAGCGCCCTGACCCCGGAAACGCTTCCCTGGCGTGGGGCGGGACCCAGGCCAGAAGAGACGTGGCTTTCGACCGAGGGTAAACATTTCCGGTTGAAGCGTACCTGAAGCTGGGGTGCGGGGGTGGTAAAAGACCGGCGTGAGCGGAAGTAGGTTTGCCCCTACCGGAAGCCTCTTCCTCGCCACCAGTAACTTTCTTGTGGTGTCGAGGTGTTTGGACGCGTTGGGATCGCAGAGGAAGATCTCCAAAGACCTACCGCTTCCTTGCTGTCAGACGGGGGCGGGTGATTTCCCTGTTGACATAGCAACCAAGAGCACAACTTTTTCGAATATGCAACTTCCCTTTTGGGAAGCAAGTTGGTGGAGACACAAATTCTAAGACGTACATATCAGGCTTCATTAATAGCATCAAACAACTGAAAGAAAAAAAAAAACCGGCCAACATTGAGGAACCGACCCAATAACTGACGATCCAAAGATGAAACTGGGAAAATTATTCTGCCATTTAAATCATGATACACATCGGGACGGCTACGCAAATAGTATTATTGGAGGAAACCTACATAGCTGAACAAATATACTTTATCAGTATATAAACTGAGTATATACTAATATAAACAAATTTGGGTAAATAAATGAAAAAGGAACAACTTTCTACTATACCAAAAAATTCCAAAATGCATACAGAAAAGTGAGGGAAATAAAAAGTCATCATTAGGACATCACAGTAATAATTGTAGCAGGCAAGATTAAAGGGTGGATACTGGCAGGAGCTGGCAAAAAGTTCCAGAAGAAATGGCAATTTGCATAGTTCCAGGTAATCTCCCCAAGACGTTTACCAATAAAGAGGAGGAAGTCAGGCCTGGTGATAGACACCTGCAAGGCCAGTACTTGGAAGACCGATGAACAAGGATTGCAACATATGAACAAGGATTGCAACATGTTCAAGGCCAACCTGGGCTAATAGCAAAACCTGGTCTCCAAAAAGGAGGAGGTTGAGGATATAATGACTTACAGTAGCAGATACCATCTTAATCATGTGATCTAACACAACATCGTTGTCATGAAATTCCTGGATGCGTGAATTAAGAGCATGATACTCCTTCTGTGCCATTCGGAACAAATATACAAACCTAGTTCTTGTGGAATATCCCTTTAACCATGCAAAGATGGGTTCCATGTGTTTATGCTGCATTTGTTTAACTTTGTAAAGATGTGCTGCCTTGGCTGCCTGAGGCACCTGATTGGTCTAGTTAAAAGCCAAACGGCCAGTAGCTAGGCAGGAGAGAGAATATGTAGAAGGAGGAATCCAGGCTGAGAAAAAGAAGAGAAAGTGGAGAGGGAATGGGGGAGACACCCAGGGCTAGTCAGCCAGGCAGCTGCCAGACAGACAGACAGACACGGAGTAGGCCACACATAATGAAAGAAGCGTAAAAAGCCCCAAGGCAAAACAGATGAGGTTAATTTAAGTGATAAGAGCTAGTGTGACAAGCATAAGCCAAGCACTCATAGCTAATACTAAGTCTCCATGTCATGATTTGGGAGCCGGTTGACGGCCGAAAAGAAAGCCTGCTACAAATTCTAGACACTGAAAAAAAAAAACCATATCACAACTGGACCAAGATCAGGGCGGGAGAGATGACTCCAGGGCTAAGAGAACTTGCTGCTCTTTTAGAAGACTCCAGTTCAGTCCTCAGCCCCCCACATCATACAGCTCTCAGTCACCTTAACTTCAGTTCCAGGGGACCCAACCTCTCCTCACCTCTCTGGGTACCCACATACACATGACACACACAAACACAAATAAAACAGTAAACCTAAAAAGAGTTTCAAAATAATAAAAAATAAAGTAATTTTTTAAAAAAAGGAATGACTGAGGAGCTGTCACATATAGACTAACCAGCCAAGACATCTCAGTGTAACATGGAATCTTGGACTGATTCCTGGAACAGAAAAGGGATAATTATGGTTAAGTTATAGAATAAAATATGATTCTATTTGAATAAAATGATTGCAATATAGTTTTCAAAATGAAACCACATACGATCCTATTGACCAAAGAAAACACCCCAAAGCACTGGGGGACCAGTGCTGTTACAGCCGTGGAGGGGCAGGGTGGGTTCTCAAGGCCTAAGACAAAGGCGCTGTTCTTGCTTGCTCTATTGTCACAAGCTGTAATGGAGAGGGCAGGGATGTGAAGTCATCGAAACAGTGCATCCTGGCATGTGCCTCCACCAGAGGACCTAAGTGCTTGGCCAATGACTCACTTCCCCTGCTGGCAGTTTAATGAGGCCAAATGTGTGTAACAGGTGCTACCATCCAAGCGAGAATTCCACTGTCCTGTGCATTTGAGAGTCACCAGCAGACAGCTGGTCTCCCTGACCTTTACAAGAACCAACTGTGTGAGAGAAGGTCCTCACCCCCTCCCCTTTCTATAGAGCAGTGTTGTCAGAGGTGTTGAGGAAACATAGCTAAGCACTGCCACTTGGTGGCCAGAAGGGCGCCCCTAATGACCTCCACTCGGTAGAGCCAGATCCTTGACTACACAGTGGAACGAATTTCAGGACAAAACAGAGTGAATAAAATTGCCACCAAGCCTGATGATGAGTTCACACTGGGAGAAGCAACCTTCAGAGGGTGTCCCTTATGTCCCCATGTATAGTGTTGCACACAAGCACTTCTCCCACACAGACACACAGACACACAGTAAGTAAATGAATGTAAAATCTGTAAATGAAATTATAAAGTGGTTTTCTGGAACACTGCTCAGGTTTAGGGATACGTGCAGTACTAATTTAATTAAATGCAAGACCTCAACCATCCTGGCCGTAATCGAGGATGGTTCATTGTTTAGCATCTTGACACTCTGTAGACGAGCTTGATTTTACCTGAGAGTCTCCTGACTCTCGGGTGGCAGGAAACACTAGCCAGATCTGAAGATGAAGGGTTCTTATCCTCCCCATGTCCACTTAGTTTTATTCATCTTTCTATATTGTCTCTAGTCTCTGTGATGTGACAAGGATATAAATCACCATATATGTGGTGGACACTGCACAACATCAACAGTGACCCCTGAGCTGATAAGCTCTGGGCACGGGTGACGTGGTGTATCCATGCAGGTTCATCAGTTGTAAAAAGATGACAGAGGGAAAGCACAGGAACGTGTGTACCATCACTGAATTTTCCCATGAAACCACGGGATGTATTGATTAACAAGCAAAGCTCCCCTCTTTTACCCAGTTCTTAACAAGCCATTATAAGTAATTCAAATGTTAACAAAATGGACATCTGCAAAATCCTTTTAGGTAACTAAAAAGTTTTGTTGTTTTCTATGAAACAAGTGTACCTGTCTGGTCCAGGTGACCAACGACCCCAGCTCGGGCTTCCAGCAGCACCTCCCACTGGATGAAAGGCCCAGGGGTTGAGATTGGCCTGTGAATGTTGAGCCTGCCTAGCCAAGACAGCCTTGGAATCAAGTTCACTCATCTCTACTAACCAATGGAGTACTCACAAAATGATGGGGGGGGGCTGAGCATCTCGAAAATACAGGACAAAGAATAAGGTAATCCAATAACTTCTCTATGCAGAGAGAAGTACCCATGGCCATTTCACAAACACTGTTCCTCCCCCAGCCTTCTGGAGCCCCTGGAGTTCGCCTTTGTCTAAATACATTTATGTATCTGAAATAACCACGAGCCATTATGTCATTATATATTACTTCAGTTTATTAAATAATGGAACAAGGCTTATGCCACACAATCCAATCATGTATAAAGAGCTTGAAATATAGAAAAGCCTGTGGAAAATGCATATTCTTTATATAATACATACTGCTTATAGCACAGGAATAAATAGAGAACAGAACCACTTTTCATACCACAGAGCATCAGGAACAAACACACAAACACAATCTCCTTCAACTTAGTTACAAAAACTCCAGATAGTTTTCACTGCACTTGATCAAAACACCAGTGGAGGTGTTACGGCCACACCCACATCCCCAAACACTCAAAGCTGTCTCCGGGTTAGGAACGTCAGCAACTGTATCAACTCCGGGGGGACGGAAAGGCGGGTTATGACCCTGTCCTATAAGGCACTTAGGAAGTTGGCACCACCCTTGTCTTAAAACACTGCAATTCTGCCTTAAGACATGCTAAAGTTTTACAGTAAAATTCAAGTTTCTTTCTCTCCAGGTACACACACACACACACACACATAATGTGAATAAATTGATAATACTGTCTGATATCTACTCTTTATAGGATCTTCAAAGTGAACCTGTTTCTACTTTAGAAATTACCTTCATATTTTAAAAGTGGTGGGTTTTTTGTTTGTTTGTTTGTTTTTGTTTTTGCTTTGTCAGTCAGTGGCAGTACACGCCTTTAATCCCAGCACTCAGGAGGCAGATGCAGGAGGATCTCTGTGAGTTTGAGGCCAGTTCGGTCTTTTAAAAAAAAGAGGAAAAAAGAAAAAAAGAGTTCCAGGATAGCCAGGACTGTTACAAAAACAAAACAAAACAAAAAAAGTGGTTTGAAAAAGACGCAATTGGCCTCTGTGGAGTCTATCACTTAACGGAATGTTCAGGCTAGAGGAAAAATCTCGCACACACAGTGGAGGAGCCAAGCCAGCAGAAGTTGTGTTCCTCTACTGCCATCTAGTGGCTCTCTGGGGAGTTGTGGGCTTTCTTCATCTTTAAGCCATGACTCTGCCTTAGCTTTTACTTTTAGAAATCAAACCCTGCTTCTCAGACTGGTTTCAAAGTAAACATTAACAAAGAAGCCAGGGTGAAAATGTAAGAAAAAAAGCACTCAACCTTCAAGGAAAGGAAAACCTGCACACTTCTGCCTGAAGAAGGAAGGAGCCCTATGGGGCAGATACAGAATGCACTGGCATCGTGGCCAGAGTCCCAGGTAGCCCTGACACTTTCACAGGGTACACCTGAAGGGATTGGGCTCCCTTCTAGAAACAGAAAGCTCTTAGAGACATCTTTTGCTTTGAAAAGTAGAAGAGGTTTAATCAGTCTAGAAGAAACAAAAATAGGAAGAGGGGCGTGAAATACCTCTTTTAAGAAAGGAGATAAATACGCGATAAAGACGTCACTTTGGAGGTGGGGTGGTGCTCAGCGTGGGCAGATACCCAGAGTGCACAAGGGTTTGATCCCCAATATCACAAAGAAGAAATGGGAAGAAATAAATTACTTTTTAATTCCAAGGAAATTAACTAGGAAATCTCAGATAAAGGGTTTTTAGACAAACCCACTTTGAGCTAAAGTGAAGGCTAGAAGTCTGGAGACATCTCTCTTCAGTTCATCAGCAACCAAAACACTGCAGCGTTATTTAACAATGGTCAGGATAATCCCGTGGTACCCAGCTGTTTACCTTTTACGTGGCAGCCCCAGGAGCCTTCCCTTCGTCTGACACCTTCACTCAGCATGACTGTCCCCACTTGATCAATATGGAAATAATAAACTTGGATTAGAAACCATAGGGCAAATGGCTAATGGTACCTCACAAAGGTCGACTCTTCAAAGGCTTAACCTCACTTACTGTAAGTGAAAAATTCTGCCCAAACAGGAAGTACAAAGCAATGCTCTAAAAATCTATTTCCTGCACTGTCAGGGTCTGAGCGGATGGGGGCGCGGGGGGGGGGGGGGGGGGGGCCCATCACTCCGGAGCTGGCTCAGAGCTGCTGTTCCCAGCTGGAAGCCCAGAGGCAGCAAAGCTGCTCTCCCAGAGGAACTGCACACGGTTCTGATTTCCCTGCACGTTTTCTACAGCAAGAAACATGTATTGTGTACATCATCTTGGGTGTCAAGGCGAGTACATGTCATGGTTTGATCTCTAAAACGCGGATGAAGAGCGTCCAGTGCCGGTGCATGACAATCTAAAGAAGCCAGCCTTCACCCATCTAGAAGCTGTGCAGTGAGAAGCAGCCAGAAGCACAGGGGGGTCTACCGTTGTGGACGCTGGCTTTTCAGAAGAATGTCTCGCGTAGCATGGACTGACTGGTCACAAGTCCAGTTTCTTCAGCTGCTCATATGTCAGAAAGAACTATGGTCATGGGTTAAGGATGCCAAGAATATGTCATGTTTCCAAGGCCAGTACATAGAGCAGACAGACAACTCAGCTTCTCTGCAGGCAGCTTGCCAAGGACACCATTCCCCTTGAGCTCCACACAGAGTCTCAGGCTATCTCCCCAGATGCCCAAGGTCAGCTCAGAAAACAGCAGAGCTGAGACCCACAGACTCCTCTGCCTCTGAATCTTCAGGACTGATAAGCATTCTCATTAGCAAAAGCCTCACTGGGCAGAGTACAACAGAGTCCCAGAAAGCTCCTCTCCAGTACTTTCCCATCAGCAAAGAGTAGGGATGCCAATCCAGCAGCCCTACCTCTAACTTCCTTCCATGTCTGCTGACCTGCCCCTCCTTACATGCTACCTGGAGTCAAATACTTAAAGAGCTACCCACATCCTTCCCCGGGAGAGCAGGGGATCCATCAATTGCATCACTGTGGAATCACGAGTACCCTGAACTCCTCGAGCAGATTCTAATGAAAGTCAACACCTTCCACTAGCAACACCACTGAACTAAGAACCTTGTGTCGAATGAGACCCCACATTTCCTAAAGTAGAAATGGAGTGGCTATTTCTTAGAATCAGAAGAGCTTAAAAGGACAAGAACTCACTTCTACATTTTAATTTACAAACAAAAACAAACAGTATTCTTTAGTACCAGCCTTTTTTGGATCAACCACAATGGAAAAGGATACAATGATATTCCAAGGACCAAGGCGTAGCCAATTTGGCCAAAAACCCTTATATAGAGCAAAAAACCCTTCATTCTTCCATGTCTATTAAAAAAAAAAAGGCATTAACTTCCCATTTTCCAATTATATCAAACGCATTAATAATGTGTTAAATCGATATGCTATACTTTTTAGTCAAAATTAAATTCCAAGGTGCTGGATGCCCCAACCCCCAACTTAAATGGTGGAAGAGAACTGGATCCCACAGGTGTCTCAGAATGAGCCTGGGGAAACCCAAGCTCGCCAAAGTGGTCTTTCCAACTGCCCTCAGTTGTGGTAAGGAGTGTCCCCATCCTGCTGCTCAGGCCACCACCCTACCCTGGCCCACAACACCCCACTGTGCTTAAGATTGGTAGTGCCAGTGTATAGCTAGCCAGTGTGTTGTGCCTATAGAGGTAATATGCAAAACATAGAAGCTGCAGTTCCTAATGGAACTACCTATTGGCTGCTAGAGGCAGGGGATTCAGAAATGGGGAAATACAATCATTGTTCCTTGAAATTTCCTGAGACCTATTCCGATCTAGATGCAAAGGATACAGAGAAATCAAGTTAGTGGACTCAGCAGACTTTGGCTGATGCCATTTATAGGCTGCAATTCTGTTTGTTTGTTTTTTCGAGACAAAGTTTCTCTGTATAGCCCTGGTAGTCCTGGAACTCACTCTGCAGACCAGGAGACCTTGAACTCAGAGATCCACCTGCCTCTGCCTCCCCAGTGCTGGGATTAAAGATGTGCGTCACTATCACCTGCTACAATATTCTTCCAATGAAAACCATCAGGGGCTGTGCACAAGGCTAAGCTCTTCTTGGGCATTCATTCTATTCAAATGCATAATATTACAAAGAACTGCTGAATATTTTCAGCTTTTGCAGGGGGCTGTGGGAAATGTACATCAGTGACAAATAGTGTTTGACAAGTCAACCCCCTTGGGAAGCCCTACTTGGCAAAGTCGTAGGGTTATTGACTGTGAATGACGGGTTATTTTCTGTGCCCAACTTTGTCAGGTACCACAGCTACACCTCCCTAATAAGAACAGCTGTGAGGTTCTTGCCACAGCCCGTTGGTGGTGTGTTTTATACTTGTTGGGCACACACATAGCCGTGGATGGACAGGAAGATGACTTCTGCCTAGCTGTATAATTCTGATGAGTAGAAATAATACTAGGATATTTTATATCGCTCAGACTGACATAGGAGTCTCAGTCACAAAGACAGCCTTTTATACAGACAGCTAACTTCAGACTCCAGAACAAATTCAAAGCAGGCTGGTTGTCCCTGGAGACAATATCTGGTTGCCCCTAGAGACAAATACACGATGTCATCTTCCCAGGTGTTGCTTTGCTGATTCAAGGTCAGAATAGAAGCAACTTTAGTAAACATAGCTCCTTGCAGCAATGGACCTTTCTGCACATACTCCCCAACCTCGAGGTCCAGCCAACTGTTTCCTGTCTGGGAACCCTCACCAACTTAGAGCTACATGCATGGGTCAATGTGACATTCCCAGCCTAAGAGAAACTACGTGACTCATCTTGTGTTATGAGAATGGGTCTGGCCCAGAGTTGGGCTGTGAGAGCAGGAGAGAGGACGGCTGGGGAGACAGAAAGAGCGAGAGACGTGAGAGAGAGTGAATGAGAGTGAGTGAAGAGTGTGTGCATAATGTGTGTGTGCATGCATGTGTGAGTGTGAGAGAGAGAGCTGCGTGGAAGGCTGTTGCTGCATGTGGGAGCCGCACCTAAGGGCTGTGTGAAACCCTGCATGGGGGGAGAGCTACGTCACTGAGATGCTTAGCTGTGTCTGTGTGGAGATTTGTAACTGTGTGGAGGCGAGGATGATGAAGCTTATAGAAAAGGAGAGAAAAGAGAAATGTAAAAGAAAGATGTGTGGTCACGTCAGAAGAGACGTAATTAAATATAGAAACATGTAACTGAGCAGCAGAGGGATGTATGTGTGTAAAGAGATTGGGAAGAAAGAGAGACTAAGTTGAAGTCAAAGAGAAGGTTACCATCAGGAAAGCATGTGCTGGTTCCTTTTTTCTTAGGTTAGCAGCAGAAAGCATGTGTTTTCTTATTTACCCCTCAGAGAGAAAAGTCTAGCACCCTCAGATAACAATTTTCCCTAAGCCCCCACTACCCTGAGGTGGTCTTCTTATTACCCTGAAGCAGATCTGGGAGCTGTCTCCACGGTCTGCATCAAGATTTACTCAAAGAATGGGGAAAACTATCATTTTATAGGCTTACTCAGAATAAACGAATAGTAAGTAAAAGTCTGTTTAAAAGGATTGATTGGAAACTTTGCTCTGCCTCTTTGCTCCTTACGGCTTCTGCATGCCAAACATGCAGGCAGGGAGGATGAACCCCACACAAAGCAGGTAAACAAGTGTTCAATGAGTGAGAAAACAGACTTAATTCTAAGTAGGGCCATTCGCTTCCTTGCCATCTGGGCTCCTAAGCAAGCAGGAATAAATAAGCAATTCGATAAAGATACCTTTCCGCCTGTCTTCCCAAGTTTCCTATCCCTGCCTCATTAAAGCAATACTAGAGGAGCAGGATGGAGCTCAGACACTGAGTCCTTGCCCAGCAAGTACAAACCTGTTCAGTCCCAAGCACCACATAAAACCCGCTATGATAGCACATGCGTCTGTAATCTCAGCCCTTGGGAGGTAGAGGCAGGAGGATCAGAAGTTCGTGGTCACACCCAGCTACCTACCAAGCCTGGGGAGAGTTAGATTATCTAAGATCCTGCCTCAAAAAAAGAAAAAGCTGGTGGGGTGGCTCAGTAGGTAAAGCCACCTGCTGCCAACCCTGGTGACCTGAATTTGATCATTCAGAATCCATAGGATGGAAGGAGAAAACTGATTCATCCCAGGCATCCTCTGACCAGCGCCATCACCACCCACACACCAGTCAACACAAAATAAATGTAATTTTAAAAATATAAAGTAGGGGGCTGGAGAGATAGCTCAGAAGTTTAGAGCACTGGCGGTTCTTCCAGAGGTTCTGAGTTAAATTCCCAGCCCCGATGAGGTGGCTCACAGCCATCTGTAATGTAATCTGGTGCCCCCTTCTGGCCTGCAGGTGTCCATGCACATACAGCACTATATATGCTTTAAAAAAAAAGTATTTTAAAAAACGTAAAGCGATCCTTGAAGACTAAGATGCACTAGCACCATGCTGAGACATGAAGCAAGTGTCCCTAATGTCCTAAGCTTGGGCTGCTGGTGAGCCAGTGGGGAAGCTGGACACTTTCCTCTGCTAAAACCAGTTCTCTGAGCTGTGGTCGCATTGACGCACTCTTGTGAGACACATCTGGATGGGATACTTACTCCAGATTGACTCAAGAGGGAAAAGGTCTGCTTTGGAAAGGGACAGTTTGCAACCACAGAAAAGATTACTATTTCAGCATCCTTCCTAGCGGGGAAAGAAAAGTATGTAGAAAATGAACTTTAAATTTCATCTAGATCTTGGACTTCCAACCCCAGTATGGTTGAAACCACACCATGATCACCAGAAATGGTATACGGAATGTCATACCAGGCACGGTGGCACATGCCTTTTATCTCAGCAGAGGCAGGTGGATCTTGGTCTACACAGCAAATTCCATGCCATCCAGGGCTGGATAACTAAGACCCTGTCTTTTAAAAAAAAAAACAGTATATGTCACATGTATCCCCAAGGGCTCCATGGCCTCACCTATCTTAGTTTTAATATCTGTCATAGTATAGTTACTTCAGTGTGTGTGTGTGTGTGTGTGTGTGTGTGTGTGTGTTGTGTTTAACTCACAATCCTACATTGACACTTATTCTTACCTGCAATAGGCAATCCAAGGTACCTTTGTAGCCAGAGCATCCGCCATCTCGAAGGACTCTCTGATTCATCATACGCGTTCTCACAACATCGACAGGGTTTGAGGCCAAAGCCCCGACCAGACCACAGGTGAAGCTGGAGCTATGGAGAAAACAGTATTGGAAAAGGCAAGAACTCCGACTCAGCTACAGCTGCAAACGGTGAGAGACAAGACAGCTTCCTCCCAAAATCACCTTAAAGTAAACACAGAGCTACCCGATCTGCACCAAGGATGAGCTCCACGGGGCTGCAGATGGCTCAGCAGTTAAGAGCACTGGTTCTTACTGAGGACCCGGGTTCAGATCCCAGCACCCACATGGTGGCACACACACACACATGCACGCACGCACGCACGCACGCACACAGGCAAAACACGCATGTAAAGACTAAGTCTAAAAATAAATAAATAACGTGCAAGACCGCCTCACTGCATGCCCCCCTTCCCCCGGGTCTCGGGTTCTAGTACACTGCCAGCCTCACTAGACTGCCATTGGACACACAGCGTATCATTGCTAAATTGAGTTGAATTTAGCCCAAAGCTGCCTGTGTACATAAGTAACTATAACCTGATTTACTTATGCTGAGTTACATAAAGCATAAAGTGGAATGGTTAGACTTTTACTTCCTTGCTGAAAAATCCTAATGTGAACATTTCCATTCCTTGGGCCGCAAACACTCCTGCGCGCACTGTAGACGCAGCTCTCTGAACCACTTTCCATCGCGAGTGCCACTCTGTTCCTGAACATTTTCTTTTTAGACTTTTGGAAACATGGTTTCTCTGCGTAACTGGCTGTCCTGGAGCTCTCTTTGTAGACCAGGATGACCTCAAACTCACAGAGATCCGCCTGCCTCTGCCTCCCGAGTGCTGGGATTAAAGGCATGCGCCACCATGCTCCTATTCAAACTAAACTCCACTGACTTTAACTTCACTGCATCTTTTCTTTTATCAGTATCAACCAGCTCGGAGGTTTCCCCACCACCGCATTCCTCACACGTTGAATTAATCATTCTTTGTTGTGGAGGCTGTCTTGTTCACACTAAGGTTTATTCATAATTGCAGCATTCAAGCTCTGCCCACTAGTGGTAACTAGTGCTCCCCCTAGTGGTGTAAATCAGCACATTCGCCACACTTGCCTAAATGTCCCTGTCCAGACTGGCACTCAGCCCATCAATGGATTAAATGATCTACGACGTGTTCATATAAACGTGATAACTTGTAGTTATTTAAAACAAGTGAATGGAAGAGAAATAGCTCAGCAGTTAAGAGGGTATACTGTCCTTATAAAATCCAAGTTAGAGCCCCAGCGCCCATACCAGATGTTCACCCTGCCCGTAACCCAGCTCTGGGGCTCTGTTATCCCTCTGACCTCCGTAGGCATTTGTACCATGTGCATATACACAAACACATACACAAGCAATCAGAAACAACTAAGCTGTAAGAACAGACATGGGACTATATTTAGGATATGTTGTCACTTTCTTTTTCTCTGTATGACCTGCCTCTGTCTCCCATGCCAAGATTAAAGGTATGCACCACCATGTTATGGAAAACCAGCCTGGCCATGTTGTCACTTCTTTAAAAACAATACAAACATGACCCTACTTGTTTATAAACTACATGTGATGTTTATTTGCAGACATACTGTTTGCATACATATCTGTTAACAACAGATGTCGATGTAAAGGCATAAAGACTTTTACCTTGTCTTGCTTGACTTCTGTATTATAATTTTTCAAATAAGAAAATATACTATTATAATATTTTCTCTAAACTTGCATAAATTTACACAAAAATTTCACCCTAAGCTAATGCATACCTAAAATATTAATTTTGTCTGTTTTTCGAATTCCTGGCTGTCCTGGAACTCACTCTATAGACCAGGCTGGCCTACAGAGATCCACCTGCTTCTGCCTCCCTAGTGCTGAAATTAAGGGCATGCACCACCACTACCCAGAAAAAAATATTAAATTTTCAAATCCATAAACATACAGAAAATGCGTAGAGACGGTGTCTCCCATCAGGCCTGAGAGTATCAAGTGTTTCTTGGTGACATCATAGACCGGAAGCTCCACACCGACAACAATGGCAGCCCTCTGAGCTGTGAGGGACACGCCCTGGGTAAAAACACGAGTAGGAGAATGATTTCACATCCCTGCAGAGAACGCCAGGGTACAGAGGCTCTACCCCACCCGTTATTAGCTCTGCCATTAGGTAGAAGTGTGGAGTAAAAGAGTAAGAACTCAGCAGGGTAAGAACTCAAAAGCTCTGGTGTCAGTTATGACCTTGGTCAGATGGCAGATAGGACAAGTCATCCTCAAATTCTCCAGTTCCTGTCACTGAGAGATACCACGAGGTGCTATTTAGGGTCTATTCTGCGAACCAATGAGTCAGGCATCATCGGGCTCCCAGGAAACGGCACTGTATATCGGCACTTGCCTGACCACAGACCACCTAAGCCATGAAACTGCACAGGTCAATCACCCAGTGGGATGGGGACCCAGGGACACTCCGAGAACGGAAACAACAAAAGCAAGCATCAGATAAACAAAAAGTGCTCAGCTTTCACAAAATCTCTTTAGGTGCATTATCTGAAAGGCATTTGAAAACCACAACAGGGGCTGGAGAGATGGCTCAGCAGTTAAGATCATTGGCTGCTCTTCCAGAGGACCCAGGTTCAATTCCCGGCACCCACATGGCAGCTCATATCCGTCTGGAACTCCAGTCTCAGGGGATCCAACACACTCACACAGGCACACATACAGGCAAAACACCAAGCAATGCTCATAAAAATGAATAATTAAAAAAAAAGAAAACCACAAAATATACCTCATGTTCTCATTTTAAAGATAACTTAGGGAGGCAGGCAGAAAATGGCATTCTCCTTCCTCCACGATGACACATTAAAATGCATCGAGGAGGAGGGGAGGGACAAGCCAGCGTGTGGACTCCGCCCTGCAGGCTCACCTTCCACAGCCCTCTCGTCCCCTCCTGCTGGTAGATGTTGATGAAGTTGCCAATCATTCCCCCCTGAACAGCGCTGTTCTGTGCCTGCATTCGGATCTACAGGTCACCAGAAAGAATAATGTGAGAAGGAAACCGGCCCATTCTCCACCCCCTCACCACCAACAAGAAAACCACCCATCAAGTGCGTAATGGTGCTTGGGGAAAACCAGCATAAACCTGACTGCGATGTTCCCCTCAAACACCCTCGGTAGACCATGGCATAGGTCGGTCCTTAGCAACTCCGAGTTTAAAAGGACTAAGCAGCGTCAGAGTCTTATCCAGTATTGTGTTAAATCTTGGGTTTTTACTCTCCTTTCTTTCTTTCTCTCTTTTTTTTTAAACCTTTTGGGACGATCTAAGAGTTAATAAAAAGGAAAAAGCCTACCCCCCCCCAGGGTTTCTCTGTGTAGTCCTGGCTGTCCTGGAGCTCGCTCTGCAGACCAGGCTGGCTACAGAAACCAGTGAGAGCAACACCCAGAGCACTCAGCTGCAGTAAGTTACAGCAAGTTTAGTTCTTAAATTGCTCCAAGTCACAATTATTTCCAACTTGTCAAGATAACACAAATAAACTTTCCAACAGGAAGCTGTTACACTTTCTTCCACTTCAACTTCCACAGTTCACACAGCTCAGGAGAGACACGTGACTGAGACGCCACAGTTACGTGGAGTGCTCAGCGGAACCCTTCGTCTTAAGAGTGAAGAGGTGAATCGGGCATTGGTAGTGCACACCTTTAATCCCAGCACTCAGGAGGCAGAGGCGGGAGGATCTCTGTGAGGTCAAGGCCAGCCTGGTCTACAGAGTGAGGTTCAAAACAGCCAGGTCTACAGAAAAATCACATCTTGAAGAACCTACATGTTCACAGGGAGTGGCACTATTAGGAGGTACGGCTTTGCTGGAGTATTTGTGGCTTTATTTGAGCAGGTGGGGCTTTGTTGTAGACACTGTGTCACGAGAGCTGGTCTCTGAGGTCTCAGAAGCTCAAGCCAGGCCTAGTGGGTCTCAGTCTCTTCCTGCTGCCTGCCGTTTCATAAGCAGAAGTCTCAGATACCTCTCCATCATGCCACCATGCTTCCTGCCATGATGAATGGGCTAAACTGTAAACCAGTCCCAATTAAATGTTTTCCTTTGTAATTGCTGCCATGGTCATGGCGTCTGCTCGCAGCACTGAAACCCTAAGATACATAGCCTGTTACATTTGTGAGTCTCGTTATCTGAATGCTGTCCCCATGTGGAATGTGCCTCTGTGATGCAGCCAGCACTTACTTTCAAAACATCGGTTGGATTAGCAATAGCTGAGGAAATGACTCCAGACAGAATTCCACACACAACATTGATCAGCAGGGTTTCATCTATAAACAGACATAGTGGTTGGCTTTTTGTACATGGAGTTTTTCCTATAAATGACTCCAATATAGATAACGTAATCCATTACACTCTACCTGTTCACCTGAAGATAAACACAAGCTCTGTGAATGGAGCAATTAATTTTAAAATAATTATCTACTACTCCTCTTTGTTTTTCCAAATGAACATGTAGCTCAACTACCTTGTAAATATTCACATTTATCCCCCACTCATGCTGCTATCAGAGCTCTTAATAGGAAGACGCGTACACATTCAGTGCGTTCCTGAACTGGGGTGATAACTCATTCAATTTCAGAACATTGTCAGTTGGCAAGCAGAGACTACAGCGCGTAGCTAAGCATTTTGAACCTAAGGACAAAGGACTGCTCCCACTGCCGGCTAAAGCGCTACTGACAACTCATGGCTTCTGGGCTAGGGAGACTGTTTCCCTTTAAGAGAACATATGGCCTTTGGTAGGTCAACCGCACTCCGGTGGATGGTCTCACACCCATGAGTACATGGCAGCACCAATCAGACTCTGGGTCATAAAGAAATGAACATGATGTTGGGAGAGGGCGAGGAGGTAGGGGTGGGTCTGGGAGGAGCATATTTAAAACACAAATGATTAAAATATTTGTACAAAGGTTCTCTCTCTCAGCTCAGTGTGAGCACGGTTTGTTTACTCTTTGTACCCAGTCTTCTCCTCAGTGGCTGAAAATGAATCAAATAGTTAAAAGCCCATTCCAAACTGTCTGGAATAAAGCACTACTAATCTGCTGACTGTCCCCAGGGAAACAGGTTGCCACTCACCTTCTGGGCGTTCCACAGCGAATCGCTTCAAGCTCTGGTAAGTGCCAATCTTGATGGTTCCATAGGAAGCCTGGCGAAGCATCGCAGGTGCAATCCTGTCACATGGGCACGCGGACAGACAAAAGCCAACTACACGTCAGAAAGATCCAAGTGCAAAGACACACTCAATCTACAGCTAAAATGCATTTCTTTCTTTTTCCTTTTTTTTTTGTTTTTTTAGGGTTTTTTTTTGTTTGTCTGTTTGTTTTGTTTTTTTGATTTTTGAGACAAGGTCTCTCTATGTCCCGGAACTCGATATGTAGACCAGGCTGGCCTCAAACTCACTTGCCTCTGCCTCCCTAGTATTGGGATTAAAGGCATGTGCCACCACACCCAGCTTCAAATGGATTTCTTAACATTGAAAACGTAACAAAAACACAAGTGGGTCTTGAAATCAGAGATAATTTTAGGTTCCTGATTGGAAGCTTGAGACCCCATACTTACCTTTGATGAAAATGCAAATATAAACTTAATTAAAAGGACCGGCATCCCTTTCTGAGTAAAGAACCCAGGAAGACAGGTACCTAACTCCTGGTATCTACCCTTCATTTGGTCAGTTAAGCCTTGAAGAGTCCCGTAAGACAACCACCAAGGGGGGTTGCGTTCCCTACAGAAACCTCACTGATATACATGGCCCAGTTGTCTTGTTAACTTTCCCATCAATCATTCAATGAATTTAAAAGTACTTCCAAGCCTTAACCATAAGATTGTGTGTGTGTGTGTGTGTGTGTGTGTGTGTGTGTGTGTGTGTGTGTGTGCGCGCACTTTCTAGAGGGAGGGAATGATGTTTGAATTGAATAGAAAATAATATGAAGGACTTTAGCTTGAGCCATCTCTAAGAAACTCTAAAGCATTATTTTTTCATATACCATAACTATCATATGAAGTATGATTTCCCTTCATTCTATGGAACAAAACAAGATGTGATGTATTATACACTGACATGAAGACATGAGGTCTAACTCACTTCCATACACTTGTATATTTAGAGAACATATCAAATACTCATCTTTTTTTTCTTAGGGAATTTAACTTTATTTTTGAAATTAAAATTTAATTCTGTTTTGGTTTTGTTCTTTATTTTTACAAGATAATTTTTTTTATCATGGTGAAAACCTTGTTACTTCAGAACAACTAAGGCTATTTTTCAAAGGAGAAAAACTGTATAATGAGACATTTTAAACATACGTACTTCATATTGCTGTCTGTTTTTTAATAAAAAGTTTTACCAAAACCCTTGCTATATAACGTATGTATTTAGAAAAGAATTACGTTTAAAAGGAAAAAATTTTACCTTGCTAATTTCTCTTTTCTTTTTTTTTTTTAAGATTTATTTATTTATTACAGATACAGTTTGTCTACATGCCAGAAGAGGGCACCAGATTGAATTGTAGAAGGTTGTGAGCCACCATGTGGTTGCTGGGAATTGAACTCAGGACCTCTGGAAGAGCAGTCAGTGCTCTTAACCTCTGAGCTATCTCTCCAGCCCCCTGCTAATTTCTCTTTTCAAACACTCCAGTGCCCATCTTTTTGCTCTACGAAGGTGCTGTTTGAAGCATCCACTTCACAGGGCACCGTTAGACACAAGCACACAGGAGAAGACTTACCCTGAATACAGCGCCCTCAGTCCCTCCTCTCGGCCTATCCTCATCAGCGCGTGCAACATCCCACGGTATCTGATTTCTCGGAGGTTGGCATCGTTTGTCTGGCCTTGAATCTGGAGCCGCGTCTTAGTTAAATCAATTGGAAATGTACCTTAAATGTTAAAGAAAAGAGGTTGGGGATGTAGCTTGGAGACAGAGTGCTTGCCTAGCTGGACCTCAGCTCTGGAGGAAAAAAATGTTAAACAAAAAAATATCTCCCTGAAAAAAGAAACATTTAGAAATGTCAGGGTGGGGCTGGAGAAATGGCTCAGCGGTTAAGAGCACTGGCTGCCCTTCCAGAGGACTGGGGTTCAATTCCCAGCACCCACATGGCAGCTCACAACTGTCTGTAATTCCAGTTCCAGAGGATCAGACACCTTCACACCAATGCGCATAAAATAAAATAAGAAATGCCAGGGCTGGGGAAACAGATCACTAGGGAAAATGCTTGCCTTATAAGCATAAAGACCTGAATTTGATTCCCAGACTCCATATAAAAAAGGCTGAGCACAGAAAACACCCTGGGGAAGGGAAGATGGGCTTGCTTGCTGGCCAGGCAGCCTAGCTTACTTAGCAAGTTCCAGGCAGTAAGAGACCTGCCTCAAAAAAAAAAAAAAAAAAAAAAAAAAAAAGTGAGACCCAAGGAATAACTGGCAGGCAGGTAGGCAGACAGACAGACACAGATACAGACACACACACACACAATATCGACAGCCGGGCATGGTGGTGTATACACCTATAATTCTAGAGCTCAGGAAGCAGAGAGGAGATTAGTTTGAAGACACACAGCAGCATCTTGTCTCAAACAAACAAATGAAAAGAGAAACTATGTAGTCTTTTATATTTAAAAAAGGGAGGGGAACCAAAAGATTAACAAACCCAAAAAATGAATAAACATCATTTGTTGCTTTCCTTCCGTGAGTCAAGGTCTCATGTTGCTGATCAGGTCTCCAACTTGCAGTGTAGCTGAAGTTGACTTTAAATTCCTCACCTGCTGGCCCCACCTCCCCAAATGCTGGGGTTACAGTGTGCTACCATACCCAGGTAAACACTCATTTATGCCCCATCTTTAAAATAAAGCTGAGGAGACTGCATTGCTATAGAACCTGGATAAACAGAATCATTTACACAAAGAGGAAATCCACTTAAAACCCCAAATGTTATTCTTTACATTCTGATTGAACAGAGGTTTTTAAAAGTTGAAGGGAATTTCACTTAGCAAGAAGTGTTTATAGTCTAAAATGAAATCTGATGAGGCAGGCAATGCTTAACATTGGACGTAATCATTTACCCAGATCCATCCTTACAGAGTAACTTTGGCTCCGTAAATCCAAGTTATTTCATTCAGGGAGAGGAATCAGTCTTCCAAATGACTCCATTCCTTCACAGAAAGTAGGTAATCATGTGCCTTGCAAGTTGACTGAGCCAGGGGAGTGTCCAAGCCAGCAGAAGACACTCAAGAAGCCAAGTAGTCAACAAGTGCTTGATTAAACAGAACATAAACATAGGAATAATGCAACCCAACCAACGTCGTCAGAACGCAACGCAGGCCACACACAAAGTTAGAAAGTGATGGAGTAGAGTCAGCCTGCTCTGGTTCAGAGAAACCCCTGGAGCTTGCCAAACCTCTTTGCAGCCAAATGGATTAGTAGTGGCAAAGTGGAGAAGGGGACTAGGCAACAGGGTCAATCACCCCAAACGGGAGTCTTGAAACTTGTCAACTTTCTCCCTCCTGTACTTTAAACCCCAAATCGCTAATAAGTAGCCAAATGGCCAGTCTGTCTGAAGACACAGCCCAAGAGCACATGTATGAAGACTGTGTTATTACTTCACACTCTCGCACTCTGCACTTGAGCGCCTTGCACACCAAATGCAAAACTTGACAGCCATCGAACCCACCAGCAAGCCCAGGGCTCCTTACCACATTCCGCGGTGATAGAGGCCAGCCCTCCATACACAAAGGGCTTCCAGTTGAGGGCTGACATTCTCACTGTCTAGTCTCCTTGGAGTTACTCAAACATTGCCTCCCATGGGTTTGCCTCCAGGTTTGTCCTGAATACAAAAGGGAAAAAGATTAAAAACCAAAACGTCTTAGTCACTGTCACGTTACTGTGGAGAGACACTATGACCACAACAACTCTTTTGGGTTTTTGTTTGTTGTTTGTTTTGTTTTTTTGTTTTGTCTTGTTTTTTGGGTTTTTGGTTTTGGTTTTGGTTTTTTGGTTTTTCAAGACAGGCTTTCTCTGTATTGCTTTGAAGGCTTTCCTGGAAGTCACTCTGTAGACCAGGCTGGCCTCGAACTCAGAGATCCACCTGCCTCTGCCTCCCAAGTGCTGAGATTAAAGGCGTGCGCTACCAACACCTGGCTCACAGCAACTCTTTTTTTTTTTTTAATACTTTTTAAAAAATATTTTATTTATTTGTTATACAATCTTCTGCATGCCGGCAGAGGGCACCAAATCTCATTCAAGGTGGTTGTGAGCCACCATGTGGTTGCTGGGAATTGAACTCGGGCCTCTGGAAGAACAGTCAGTGCTCTTAACCGCTGAGCCATCTCTCCAGCCCCCACAGCAACTCTTACAAAGGAAAACATTTAACTTGGCCTGGCTTACAGTTTCAGAGGTCTAGTCCATTATCATCATGTGGGGAGCATGGCAGCGTGCAGACACCAGAGAGTAGCTAAGTCTACATCTCGATGTACAGGACAGACAGCCTGAAACCTCAAAGCCCACCACCCCCAGACACACTTCCTCCAACAAGGCCACACCTCCTAATCCTTCAAATGCAGGAGCCTAGGAGAGCCATTCTTATTCAAACTACCACATATAAATTCCCACACAGGCAGCTTCTGCTTCAAACTCCATCCATGGGTTTTATTCAGAGAACGCCCCCAAACAACCCTGTCAACAACCGAGGCAAACCTTGCCTTACTAAAGCAGAGCCCATGTCCTAATCCCTGAGGCGGTTTGAATGAAAATAATGCCCATAGGCCCATAGGGAGTGGTACAACTAGGAGGTGTGGCCTTGTTGAAGGAAGTGTGTCAGCAGGGGTGGGCACTAGGTTCCAAATGCTCAACCAGGCCCAGTGGCTCTCTCTCTTCCTGTTGATCCAAATACAGAGCTCCATGCGCCTGCCCCCACACTGAGTCTGCCTGCATGCCACCATGCTGATAAGAGACAATTCGAGCCATGATGATAATGAACTAAGCCTCTGACAGGTGAGCCAGCCCCAGGGAAAAGCTTTCCCTAGGAAAGCTGCAGTCATGGTGTCTCATCCTAAGACAGGCCCCAAATGAGCAATCTCTAATCTTACTGTTTCCGGAGCCTTCGCCTACATTCTGCCAGGCTGACACCCTGATACCCGTGTGCCCTTTCAGCACAGCTCAGAATGGGCTGCTTTCTAGATGGTCTTGTTTCATCTTAGAGCTCTAATCCCTCATGCAATAAAGGTTTGCTATTCACTTGCCACTGTCTTAATGAGTCCCTAAGGGAAAACACCATCTATCCCTCAGAAATACTGAAACATAGACCAAATGAAAATTCCTTAACACAAACACAGTCCACTTTGAGTGTGTACTCAGTAAATGTCCACTCACTCTCTCCAGTTTGGTGTTATGAGCTTAAGGAAGCTAAGCATGAAGGAAAGGAGCAGCAGACCTCTGTCAGAAGTACACACTGGGTTCCTGTTGACTTCCCATGCTAAATATTTTCTGCACCAACACCACCATCATCAGAAAAGTCAAGCCCAACAAACAGCAGAGCACAGACCTACTTATATTTACTTTTGGACCATTTCATATACACACACATACATACATACACACGTAATGCATTGTGATTATTTTCACACACACACCCGTTATCCTGTCTCCCTTTTCCATTCTTTTTTTTTTTTTTTTTGGTTTTACGAGACAGGGTTTCTCTGTACTGTTTTGGAGGCTGTCGGTCCAGCCCGGCCTCGAACTCAGAGATCCACCTGCCTCTGCCTCCCGAGTGCTGGGATTAAAGGCGTGCGCCACCACCGCCCGGCTCCCTTTTCCTTTCTTTCCACCTAGTTGCCCAGTGGCTACACCATTAAGAGAAAATGACACCCCCTCCTCCAGGAACCATGAGCAGTCACGAGCTCCTCAGGAAGGGGTGGGGCTTCAGTAGCTTTTCCTCTAACCATGATGGGAAGGGGAGAACCCAGTCTAATGCAGGGTATCCGTAAAGGCCGGACATTGACGGTTGCAACAGCAATGACCTATCTGGATGGCAGTGTTACATGACATTCTTCCCCACCCTTTCACTGATCCGGAACTTACTGATTCAGCCAGGGTGGCTGGCCATCGAGTCCAGGGATCCACCTGTCTCCACTTCCCCGGCACTGGGACTGCATGCATGCATCACTGCACCTGCCTTTTCACTTGGGGCTGGGAACCAAACCTTGGCAAGCATTTTGCCAACTGAGCTGTCTCCCCAGCCCCCCCCCATAAAACAATATCTTTGAAATGAACTGAAGACTCTGACTGTATTTACCACTCCATCTAGTCCTCCAAAACTCTCATTATCCCAAAAGGCTGCTCCCACCGCTGCCAGCTTCAACATGACTGGTTTTGAGGAATGGGATGCTATGCTATGCGTGCATCAAGCACGTGTGTGGTAACATGGGCTTCCCTGGAAGTTCAGACACAAGCACATATATGGTAACATGGGCTTCCCTGGAAGTTCAGACGGGTGCAGATCAAGTATCTGCATCATTCCTATAACCCAAGTATCTGTGTCATCCCTATAAATCAGTAAACTAAAGAAATGGCCTCAGGGGACCCTGTAATTTACACTTCTGCTCATAATAGCTATTTTTCAATAGGACATTACAGTTAGGTCTTTGCATTCATCTACAAGTCTTTTTCTACAATTAAATATGTAAAATGGATATATGCAGATGGGCATATCTGCACACACGCCCCCCGCCCCAACACACGTGTACACAATAGCCTCCAAAACGCCAGCCGAAGTTTACGGAAAAGAGATCCTTACCTTTAATTTTTAACTACTCTACCATCACACACTCATGCTTTGTCACTAATTAACCTTCTGGCTTCCTGTTGCTATTTTTGAGCTATCATTAATTCTGTAAGTTTTAATAGTGTTTCTTCTTCCCTTGGCTGTGGCTTGTGTTGTTTTTGAGGCAGTCTCCTATGCCAGGCAGATATATGTCACTGTGTAGACAAAGATGGCTGTGACCCTCCTGCTTCCTGGAATTATAAATATGCATCACTCCCAAACCCAGATTCATGCATGCTAGGTGTGACGACTAGTCTCACCTTCACACACTAGGAAGAGGTAACCTCTATTGAAAAATTGCTCTGTAGACATGTCTGTGGAGCATTTTCTTGATTACTCATTGGTGCAGGGGGACCCAGCCTACTGTGAGAAGTACCATCTCTCAGAGGTAGCCTGAGCTACATAAGAAAGAATGGGATCCTGGAAGCAGGCCAGTACAGTGTTCCTCTGACTTCTGCCTTTACTTCCCTTGAGGGTGGACTGTAACCTATCAGATGAAATAAACCCTTACCTCCCCAAGTTGCTTTGGGTAGCTTTTTGTTGTTGTTGTTATCTTGGTTTTTTGTTTGTTTGTTTTCTCATAGCAAGAGAAAAGAAACTAGCACGGAAATTCGTACCAGGAGTGGGGTGTTACTGTGATTAACCCTACCATGTTGATTTGGGGGCGGTATTTGGAACTTGGGACTGTTGAATACTCAGCTTTTAAGGAGTGATTGTTGTGGGAGCTTTAGAAGATAACGTAGACAATGAAGGCCTGGCTTGTGATATTTTAGAGGGAAGCAAAGGCTCTATTATGGTCACTCGTGATTATTTTGAATTAAGAATCTGCTTGCTGATCAGCTGAGGCTAAAGAAGCAGCTTGATTAACAAGAGACCAGCCCCACTGAAGTGAAACCTTTTGTGCTTCACTGGGACAATAGACATTGGTCAGCTGGGGCTGAAGAATCAGCTGGACTAATAAGAGATCAGCCTCACTGATGTGAAATACTCCGGGAACTGTTTCTTTAGGGTCGGCACATGAGCTGCAGTCCAGGAGGGCTAAGGCTGCATCTGAAGCTACTAGCTGGAACTGGGCAATATCTAAGGGTCATCCACCTGGTACTGGTTTTGAAAGCATGAGAGACAAGATTGAAGGGGTCATAGAGAGCAGCAACATCCAGGAGAGGCCACTGGTGAAGGTCTAGGCTCAATTTCAGTAGGAACTCTGGGATACTGGGGAATGTCTGCCGAGGGCAACGGCAAATGCAGGGTTGAGTGGGCCCGAGCCTACAAGGCAAGCTGTGTGAGCTGAAGGCACAGCTGGAAAAGGGGGCTTGCCCAGACTTTTGGGAACAGAGGGTCATGAATGAATGCCAACTACTGGACACTGAGCTATAGAATCTAGATTTGGGGTCTGCCTTGATCTGACTGTAACTATGTCCCAGTTCTCTCGGAATAAGAAAGCAAATAACTTACTTTGGTTTTACAGAAGCCCACAGTTAAGAGGCTTTGAACTTTTAAAGAGATAGGAAACTTTCAAAGCGTTATGATTTTTTTTTAAAGACTGTAGTACTTAAAAGAATAAGCTGGCTTACAAAGAAAGGATGTCTTGGGATGATGGACAAGCATCCAAATAAAAATGCCCCTGCTGAAGGCTGGTATCCGCCAACAGGAGTGTTCAAGGGCTGTGCTAGCCATGGCAAACCGCCAGAGGTTTGGTTATCTTGGGTTCTAGCCTGTGTTTAGTAAACTAACCCATTTGTGCCTAAGCTCTCTTGGAAGGACTCTCTCAATGCATATTCTTCAACCTTCCTGGGAGGAGTGACTTTTCAGAGAACCCAGTTCTATAAGATGAAGGCCAGGATGGAGATGGGTGCGTTTGGGGAGATTTCCAACTTGAGAACTAGCACAGGGATTACAACTTTGCAGACTGTCAGAGCCAAGTGGTGGTTGTAGATCACTTTCCGTCATGCCCTTGTGCTTGGCCATACTCTCAAAGTCAGACAGAAACCCAGTGACCAGTTCTC